TATATGTGGGGGGCATGGAACAGGGGGGAGAGTGTATTATTTTATATGTGGGGGCAGGGAGCTTTATGGTAATATTGTTAAAGTTGTTGTTAATATTTATTTTTGTATCTTTATTATGCAAAAAAAATAAAACAGTGTAATTTATAAGATTATGTAAGAGGGTGTGTTTAGGGGCGGAGTTAAGGCCGGGGCAGGGTAGGGGTTAGGTGGGCAACTGGTGGCGAGTAACTCGTAAGGCCTGGACTTGAAATGTTGACCACTGCACTAGATTATAGCATACCAACCACCTATCCCTGTCTTACTATGATAGACCCAGTTATATGACCATTGCTAAGACTTAAGGAAGGTGGGTGTGGCTTTTTCTAAATATTGGTGAACTGGAAGCCAAGATTAATCTGCAACTCTAACTTTTACATTTGAAAACTTTGGGAGGTAAGCTAAACCAGGACACAAGCCAATATCAAGCTTCTCAGGGCATTTGGGGGCCAATTTATAATGAACAGCGTATATCATAAGCACACCATGGCCTATTCATAAACTGCAGGCTGCAGTGTGGAGCCCACTGGGTTCTAGGTATGCAAAGTCACCAGCATTCCAGACCTAGGTATAAATGTTGGTGACAATGTTCTTCACGATACATTTGTGAGACGCAATTAAATGTCTGAAGTGCTGGTGACTTCGCATTCCTCCTGGTTTTGGCATGGCGCCCTCAGACATTACCACTTTAAGCACCCACCTAGTACCATCAGGAGTGCAGCATAATTTATTAACTGATTTCAATCCCACTGGGTTCCTTCTGTTTATTGCAGCAGGAAAAGCTCAATGACTGAACAAGGGCTCTCATCTAACAATTTATTTGTTTATTTTTTACACAACTTTCACTGGCCGGGGGGCATTTTTTTCACATTACCCGAATACTGCTAGCTAGAACTGGTGGCATAACTAGCAAAACTATATGAACCTACTTAAAAGGAAATACATGAAACAAAGCAACGTGATGCTCCGGGGAGGTGTCATGCTGGCTACATCTGAATGCACACCCAGTCAACCAGAGAGACTTATGAGAGATATCATGTGACCTACAGCGACTGATCTCACCTGTGGTGGAATAATATCAAAGAGGTCCCCAGCTGGAGCGTACTCCTGAGCGAAGACGTAGCAGTCCTCCGTCTGGAAGAGGACATGAAAGGCTCTGATAATGAAAGGGCTGCAGGAAAGAGCACTGGTCACGCTGAACTCCCGCAGGAAACTCTTCAACTTGGTCTTGTTCTTGTTGACGAATTTCAGAGCCATCTTGTTACCTGGTTGACGAAGACAAATGTAAAAGTGAAAACCTTGACTTCAAGACAGTTAAGCTGGGTATACACGGGTAGATTTTCGTATGAACCTACAAAAAATATCATCAGAACATTCAATAATGCCATCAGAGACTTGACGAATGTCGTTCAAAATGTAACCTGAATTTAACATTCGACTTTAAAATGAATGCAGCTCCTCAAATGAAAACAACATTCGCTGTTAGATTTTTGGTCATTTGAGAAAAAATGTTCATCCCGCTCCTTCAAACATAAGGATAAAGAAAAATGATTCTCTCGCTACACAGGACTGCCATCTCTCCCTAACAGGACCAATATACACTGACAATATGGCTGCTGCAAGCCCCCCCTCCCACTTTACAGAAAGGCGGCTGGGTTATCTAGGGTTATTCTATCATATTTTTGGTTTTCCTGACCCAATTGGCTACGGGCAAAGACTATGCATTAAATAATAGGGTTTCCTGATTTCTGGGGGAAAACCTGCAAAGTTTTTGGCCCAAACTCTACAAGTTGCAAACTTTACCAATCTAGGAGAACCCATGGGGGTAACAAATCTGAAACTCATGGCTAGTCACAACTATCTATGATGGGAATTTTCCTAACATTGGGGAGATATCCTCCTATTTCCTGTTGTATGTCCAGAACAGCAAACAAAGGGGAACTTACTTTATCCAAAAACCATGGTAGTGGCAAACCCCAACTTCATGTTTAGTGACAACTATCTAAGATAGGAATTTTCCTCACTTGCTGGAGATTTTCTCCTATTTCCTGTTGTGTTTTCAGAAAAAGAAACAGACAGAAAGCAAAGAGAAAATGATTTCATCCAAAAACACATGGTGGTGGAAAAACCTCATGCCTAGTGACAACTGTGTAAGATGGGAATTTTCCTTACTTTGGAGGGATTTTCTCCTTTTTTCTGATGTATGTCAAGAACAGGAAACAAAGAGGAACCTACTTTATCCAAAAACCCATCATAGTTGCAAACCCCAACTTCATGTCTAGTGACAACTATCTAAGATAGGAATTTTACTCACTTGCGGGAGATTTTCTCCTATTTCATGTTGGAAACAAACGGGAAGCAAAAGGAAAACTATTTCATCCAAAAACCCATGGTGGTGGAAAAACCTCATGCCTAGTGACAACTACTGTATGTAAGATGGGCATTTTCCTTACTTTGGGGGGATTTTCTCCTATTTCCTGTTGTTTCTCCAGAACATGAAGCAAAGGGAAACCTACTTTATCTAAAACTAAAAAAAAAAAACATATGTGCTGTTATGCTACACAGAGAAGTCCAACTCATGAAAGGTCTATCTGTGAGACCTGATCCTTCTTGTATAAAAGTGGAAAAATGCACATGAGCCGCTACTCTATGTTGACTTCTGGACCCAATGTGTTTGATGACTGGCAGATCTCTCACCAACAACTTTCACCGTTAAATATTTTAAGGGTCTGAAGCCTCCAACTGTTGAAGCAAAATAAGTCCAGATGCACATACCACCACTATTGGATATGCATAGTATCAATGTATCTCCCGGTGTGTTGTTTGTCCCTTGAATTGTCCTTACCTGTACTCTTATGGGACACAAGCTCCACTCTGCCATATGTCCCCTTCCCCAATTCCCGGATGAATTCATAGTGCTTCTGTACTTCACCCCCGGACAAGCTGCGGATGGCTAGAGCCTGCATATCTTCTGTAATCACAGGGACACCACAGCAGCCCAGCTTTCGAGTCGGTTCCTGGTCCACCGAGCCGGCACTCATGTTTACACTGCAGGAAAACACACACACAGGTCTTGCTATATTAATCAGGATCAGGATACTGGAATAATACATGGACAAGATGTACATATTATCACATAGAGAAACGTAGTTTAAAGTATGTACTGTGCCGCTGCTCCTTCATTGTCCAATCAGCAGACTGGGGTGTGTTTTCATCAAGCTGAGTCCCTGCTGCTGTGGAGGTCAATGATGTTGATGGCTGTGCTGCGTGGCAGGGGCACCAAGGTTACTTAACTGGCTGCACAGATTTGCAGATTTTTTTGGCAAGTAATACGGCTTTTATATAAGTATTTAGCTGCTTGGCCCGACGTTTTCACTGTTTTCTAGGTTTGCTATTTTGAAAAAAGTCTGTCACCTTAAATGAAATGTACAGAAGCTGCGCGGCACACACGGCTTTGATCTTCTTTATTGCTAAATGCCGCAGGGCTATAAAAACATCAGGGCAATGGTCGTTTCTTAAGTGGTTTGCTCTCTTTCTTTCTTAGGGTGTTGAATTTCTTAAAACCTGCAAATGTTTTTTAGATATAGAGAACCAGTTTAATTTTAATAACGCTTTCAAAAGTGAACCTGAATGAAGTTAAGATGAGCTGTTATATGGGAAACATCCAGAAATACATTGAGGGGAATTTATCAAAACTGGAGCAGAACAAATCTGGAGCAGTTGTGCATGGCAACCAATCAGCTTCTCTCTTTCATTTTCAAACCTTAACTGAAGAAACTAAAGAGAGAAGCTGATTGGTTGCCATAGGCAACCAATCTGCCATATAGCAGATTTTGTCTGCTCCAATTTTGATACATTCCTCCCATTGTGCCAAAGCAGTACTCTGAAAAATCTACATTTCTTGATCTCCTCCTGAAAAATAGCTGTTCACTTCCCGCACCTAGTCACTCCTGTGGCTCCAGACTCACACTTGTATATCTGTACTGTGAAATTATCTAAGAACGCCTTTCTCAACCAGGGTGCCATGAAACCCTGCGGTGCTTTCAGGCTTTGTCAGGGGTGCCTTCAAATTTTAGATAAAGGGGGACTCTAATGTCAAGGGGGGGGCTTCTGATGAGAATGGGGGGTTCTGATGTGAAGGGGGCTCCTGATGTAATGGGGGCACCTGATGTGAAGGCGGGACTTCTGATAAGAATGGGGAGGACTCTGATGTAAAGATGGTTTCTGATATGAAGGGGGTTTCTGATGAGAAAGAAGGCGACTCAGATGCAAAGGGGGCTCCTGATGTGAAGAGGGAGTTTCTGATGAGGAAGGGGGAAACTCTAATGCGAAGGGAGCTCCTGATGTGAAGATGGGGACTCTGATATAAAGTGGGCTCCGGATGTGAAAGGGGGCTTCTGAAGAGAAAGGGGGTGGGGTTCACTGATGTGAAGAGGGCTCCTGATATGAAAGCACAGACTCTTATGTGAAGGGGTCTCCTTATTTTAAGGGGGGGCTCTGATGTGAAAGGAGGGGCTCTGATGTGAAGGGGGGGGCTCTGAGGTGAAGAGGGCCCCTGATATGAATGCACAGACTCTGACGTGAGGGTCTCCTGATGTTAAGGTGGGACTCTGATGTGAAGGGGTCTCCTGATATGAATGCACAGACTCTGATGCGAATGGGTCTCCTGATGTTAAGGGGGGACTCTTATGTGAAGGGGTCTCCTGATATGAATGCACAGACTCTGATGTGAATGGGTCTCCTGATGTTAAGGGGGGACTCTGATGTGAAGGGGTCTCCTGATATGAATGCACAGACTCTGATGTGAATGGGTCTCCTGATGTTAAGGGGGGACTCTGATGTGAAAGTGGGAAACTCCACATAAGCTTTTTATTGTTTTTGCATGGGGTCCCGCTTTAAAATCCATACCAGCCACACCCCTGTCTAGGATAAGGGTTTGGTATTTATTTTGGAGGGGGAGAACCACACTTTTTTTTTATTTTTACATTTTAGACTGGGGGTGCCTTGAGCTTTTGCATGCTTTTAAAAGGTGCCATGACTGAAAAACGGTTGATAAACACTAATCCATGACACTGCTGCCTGTCACTGCTAGTCTCAGGAGATTTGGTGAAGCCACTACTGTGCTGATCATTGTTCTCCTTGCTGGAGAGGAAGCGGTACCTGAAGACCTGTAAGTCAAGCACCTCCCTGTGGTTATTTCTTTCAATCTGTAGATGTGGGCTTGCTGTCTACTGATCATTCCACCACCAGTCATCATAAGGGCAGTCCTGGCCTGAGAAAGCAATGCTTGTCTACTCTAATAAGATGGTTGCCTCCACACAAAGAAGTGCAGAACGAGGCATGGTAATTCAGTTAAGGGGAAAAGATCAGCTGCAGGGAGCCCACAGGCAATACTGCTGACTAGTCCTTTGTCATCTGATTGTCTTTTTTTAGCTTGCACTGTTCAGGTCTTTAAACGGCTTGGTAGTGCTGCCCAATGCCAAGTCTACCAGACAGTGTTTGGCTGACTGTAAAAGATTCTCTGTTGTCTCTAATGACATAAAAAACCCACAATGCCCATAGTAGAAATGTGATATAGGCTACCTATACTTTAGGGCATGTGAGAGAACCAGCACTTTTGTTTCTTAACGGCAAGAAAAAGCTACATTATATGTGACTTGGCAATTCTGACTAAACCAGATTAAGTCATAGGACTGGAAGTTCCTTTAAAAGTAAACCTCCCTTGAGAAAAAATGAATAGGCTGCTGGTGCTAATCTGTTTCTGAAAATGCTAGTTAGCTTGGTTTCTCTGGCTTTAATACTTTATGAGTCACTGACCAGCAACAAGTAGGCAGAAGCTGACGTGACAATGATATCAAGACCTCGGATCTGCATGCTTCTTCTTGGTCATTTGCGAGATATACCTTCACTCCCTGTCCTGTAGACACAACAGGAAGTGACAGAAAATCCCTCAAAAACAAAGGGAACCCTGGTTGTCAGCACGATCACTAGAACTAGTGCTCCAATTGGAAGATTTCCTATTTATTCCTGTTCTGATGACAACCTAAAATGTAGGATTTTCTTTTACTTTCCCTTTCAAAGTCTCTAAAACAACAAAATCCTCTCTCAGACAGTTATCACCAGAACTTATGCCCCTTTTGAAGATTTCCCCTCTATTCATATGTCCCCATTTTAAGATTTCCCCTCTATTGCTATTCTGGAGACAACTCAAAAGTTTGGATGTTCCCTAAACTTCAATTCCACTGCCAATGGTGACTAGGACAAACAGAAAGGGACACAAAGTGAAATCAATATAAATGTGTGTTATCTTGAGAAGGTAAGCAGTGACAAGTGAATTTCTTGGGCTCCGCAATCTAGACTGCAAGTGTTGCTGCACAAATGGACTTGGCAATGGGAATGAAAGACTCCTGCCAGTCTTAGATTACTTTGGAGGCGGGCTTCTGAGAGACATCTGCTCTTCTACTTCCGCGGCCTTTGGCAGCAGGGCCTCGTGGGAGGAGGAGGCCAGCAAGTTGGGAGATTATTACACAGCATGGATAAGGTTTTTTTCTGCACTGGTTTACAGATAGCAAGAGATAAAAACAGTGCAAACAGACCGATCATAAGGTCATAACACCTGATACACTAATGACAGGAAGCCTTGTTGAGGAATGATTGACTGGTCCCTTTAAGGCACTGTTACTTGAGATGCCCTTTAAAAACTTTACTAGGCTAACTTCTTCCAAATAATATGTCTCAGTGATAAGCAAACCTGGGAACTTTTGGAGCCCCCTGGGGCTGAGATTCTGCAGGGAGTTTTTGGGGGGTGTGGTTTGATCATGACAGGCCTTTGATAATGGTGGTAATATGGTCCCCAAAACATACAGCACTGACTTGGTCACACATACAAATGGTATTGTAGCCCTAAACATGGGTAAGTCATGATAAGATAGATCAACAATCGGGAAATCATGACAATATGTGGACAACAAATGGGCAATTGCAATCATACATATGCAACAAATGGGCAATGCTATTAATACACACACATATATATATATGAAAACATCTCCTTATGGCCACACTAGTTACCTAGTTGTATCAACAATCCAATGGCTTCAATACTTTGATTGATGGGCCCAATATATGAATGCAGATCAGGCTTCCCTACATCTCCCCTAGAGTGTAGCACTACAACTTACCATCTTGTGTAGAGGTGGATAAGGAAGTAAAAAACATAGCCATTACAGATTGATGTTTCCGTACCACTCAGGATTCCTTTGCCTCCATAAAGGGATCCTGTGTGGTTTCGAAACCTCGGCCTGTGATGTCTTTCCAAAAAAAAGTCTTCCTATAGATAAAGGTGTGTTGGTGAAGATGCATGCTTATGTGGTTCATGTTTTGATGGTGTCATCCATCTGGTCACTTAAAGTGTATGTCAAGGCAAAATAAAAAAAATATGCAGTAAATCTCTGCTATACATACATATGTTTCCAAGTTGTATCCCTTATACTGATCTCCCAGAAATGCCCTCAGCTCCTAAATTCTGTTGTAGGCTGACAACACACAGCATTTAGAACAAACCCTGTTGTTAGCCCTCCCTGTGTCTTTTGCTAAACTACTCAACCAATTTCATTCTCAGATCTCTACAGCATAAAAGCTAACCATTCTGCAGTTCAATATAAGAACTATGAGGCCTATCTGCGAAAACACAGAGGACACAGGACAGCTCCCTGTTTGGGACTCCCAATTCCGTGTCCCCTAATGCGAGGTCAATGGCAGCATTTTGGGAGCGATGTCTGCAAAACCCTATGCAGGAATTCTACACTCTCTTGCCTGCCCATTCACAGCCCTTGTTAAGTCAAATAGTTGTTTTTGCACTTAAAAAATGAAATTACCAAAATGCTTCCAATGGTATATTAAACAGACCAAAATGGAAACAATAAGAAAAGTTCATTGTTAGGGTTTACATACACTTAAGGCACCAGCTTAAAGGGAAGGTTTGTAAGGTGCAGGACTGACATAATAACATTATATGAGGTAAAAAGGACGCACCGGCCTTGACGTCT